TCACTCTTTTTGTCTCTGTCTCTGTCTCTGTCTCTGTCTCTCTCTCTCTCTCTCACACACACACACACACACACACACATACACACATAATATGTATAAAAATATTAAGTAGCCTGAAGAAATTACCTATGATCCTATGACCTGTTCACCTAGGCATGAATTCTCCTGTAACATTTTAAACTACTCTGATGAACCTATCTTCAGAAACCTGTGAGGCCTTCCCTAACTTCATGAATTCAGCTTGCAAGAATGCACAGGAGACTCTTTTCAGAGGAACTAAGACACGTTCCTTATAGCAATTAGTTAGGCAAAAGGGCAGTAAAAGAAGATGAAATACAGCACATGCAGGCCAGCAGAATCCCCTGACCATGCCATTACATGTGATACTTTCAAATGGGTTCATAGTACCTTAATTTTGAGGAAAAGAGTGGGGGAAAATAGCCATTGCTTTGCATGTGTCCTTTCTGTCTATGACACCAAACTCAGAGAAGTGAGAGAAACTAGACATGGTTTGGAGAAACCAGAGATGGTTCAAACGACTCTGGAGATTAAATTAACTGTACTGAGCTGAAGTTTCATATTTGTAAAGCAGAATCAGCAGCTAGCAATATAGAAAACCTAACCCAATAGATGGGAAAGAGACAAAGCTCAAAATCTCAGCCTTAGGGAATCTTCCTTGCCCTCGGCTCTATTAAATCACAGCAATTTCTTAACATCTAAGAAGCCTCAAGCAGTCAGTTTAGCAATGTGTTATAATCAGATACCCTCTTCTGGACAGGTCCTGAGTTCAGATGAAAGGTTAAAGAAGGTTCTCAGGCAGAGTCCACGTTGTTGACTAAGGAGAGGCAACTTCCTTTAAGATGCCCAAGAGTTTCCACTTGGGCAGGAGAAGGAAATTCAACATACAGGGCAAAGAATAGATCAGACCCAGAGGATACACATCCCATCCCCAGCCTTGGAGGAGCCAGATCCAGCTCAGCTACATCTATCTCTTCACAATAACTTAGGGAAGACCATGAAGTCACCAGGAACTAGAGTGGGCTGTCAGAGACAAAGCTCTGAGGCCAGGGCCACTACTGAATTAGGCTGGTGACAATCAAGAGCTTCCGTCACTTTACCTCGCTGCTCTGCAGAATCAACCTTCTGTTTCCAAATAGACACAACATATCACACCAATAATCTCTCATCAAGTAATACCAACACTTCCCAAATCATGATATTTCTCAGAGCGTTCAGTCTGACATTTTCTCCCTAGGCTCTATCCCAGAAGCTGTTAAGTCAACTACTATTTGTTTATGAACTTTTTCTGCCTTTAGGACAAGTGAAACAATATCCTAACAGCAGCTACAGTTCCCTAAAACCCAGTGACTTCCCTTTCCTGTTTAGGATACTCCTGTTAAATTGCAGAACCACCCATCTTTCACCCTCAGAATATGTAATATAGCTTAAGAGATGTGAGGAACGTATCAGTACCCAATGGAAATTCCTCTTTTCCTCATCTCAAATATATTTGTGAATCCTCTGAACTGGATTCTACCATAATGTAGGAAAGCAGGTATTAGCAGGGAACACAACTAGCTCTATATAAGGTGGTAAAGGGAGTAAAAGACATTTCCTGTTTGCCCTTCCTGTCTCAGTCTCAGCTAGCAGTCACTTCAAACCAGCAAGGGTTCAATCCAGCAACTACAGCATTAGTTAACAGATGCTGATCATCCAGTAGACTTTCCTGATCATTACTACATACTAACAGGTGAGAGAGATTTAGGAGCAGGGTGTATTTGAGAAACTTCTGGGCCTTCATCTCAATTTTGCCATGAACTTAGAGCAACTCTAAGAGAAATAAATAAATCTTTACTAAATATAATATTTTTCCAAACAGAAAACATATTGAAATATAAAGAAAGGAAGCTATCATAGTAGAATTATGACATTGCATTAATGCATTCCAAGAAGGAAGAGTCCATTTTTTCCCACAAAGAACGACAATCCAAGGCATTGACAGCAGCAAAAATTCATATTGGTGGTATACGGGGGCTGATAGATCCCTCTTGCATTCTTACCACCTGACTTTTGCTGACTGGCAGAAGCACAAGATCTGTGTTGTCAGCCACTCTGCCACCCCTGTGTTCAGGAGCTATTTTCAGGAACTTATACAATGATGATGACCAGGCACAGAGAAAACACTCAGCAGAAGGATTTGGGAAAGATCTAAGAGCAAGAACAACTATCTAATTAAGTCAAGGGACCTGGTTTGAGAACCATTATGTTCTCAAACAAGAGAGACAATTTTTCCTTTCAGTCTTTCACACTGTGACATAAGGAATTTTCAATAGAGCCTAACTAATACCTTATTTTTGAAAAATAAAAAGGTTGGCACAGTGGCCTGTATCCTTCATAGTAATTTCCTACACAAGGCATTAGCTGATAAGACAGCTATGCTCAAAGAGGCTCCTTGGGTAGTAGTTCCAGTCACCAAATGTCTCAAAGATTTAGTACCTGTTTTCAGGATTACTATTCCCCAGGCATTTTTTTTAACACCAAACCTCATTCAGTCTTCACAACAGTCCTGTAAAAGGAAGAAATGTTATTATTTCAGTTTTATAGGTAAATAAACAAGAGTTCAAATTCTTGGAGCAACTCATCCAAGGTCAGATAAGAATGAATTGGGCTTTACCCAAGCTGTGAGTACTCAAGAGCCTATATAGGTATATTCCAAAGAAAGCAGCACAGGGTACATACAGACTTTTGAAAATTACAAGGTGTGTCTATCTGCATGTGATAAGGTAAATACAGAAATGAGTGCATGGGAGCTGAAGAGACTAGGTCAGACTAGGTCAACAGAGGTCTAGGCACTTCCTCTGGGAGAAGAAGCCAGGAAAGGAAGGAGCCTTGTTTTCCCCTGAATATCCTGGTATCTTGTTCATAAATTTTACCATGCATACATACCTCCTCTTTTTTGGAAAATACTCCTAGAAAAGGTAAATCTAAATGTTGTTTTGAATAATTAAGTTCAAATGTTTAAAATTTTTTGTGTCAAATTTTCCAAAAGAAAAGCCAGACAACTGAATAAAAGCAGTACCATATTACAGAGGCTTTCCGGCACCCTCCTGAAAAGAAGCGAGAATAAGGAATGTGTTTCACTGCAAAAAGAGAACTTGTCTCAGGGGCGTGTAAGATATTTAAGACCAAAAAGCACTAAAAGTGAAACTATTGGCCATCCTTCCCATTTTCATTTTCAAAGTAAAACCCCCATAAAGCTACCTTTGTTTAGACAAATAAGGAAAGAATGGGTGACCTCACTTTCTTCAACAGGCAGGTTCTAACATGTTATATACAAAATGAAACTTAAATTTTTTGTGTGCTGGTCCTGGGGCTTGAACTCAAAGCCTGAATGCTGTCTCTGAGCATTGGTACTCAAGGCTGCCACTCTTGCACTTGAGCCACAGCTCCACTTCTGGCTTTTTTGCTGCTTAATTGGAGATGAATCTCACAGATTTTGCTGCCTGGGCTGGTTTGAACCACAATTCTCAGGTCACAGCCTCCTGAATAGCAAGAAAACTTAAATAATTTAATGCATGTTTTTTAAATGCCCTTGAAAATGCCATTGTTTTGGAATCTTGAAGAGAAGATCTCTGCAAAGTAGAGGAAATGGTTGTGATGCTAATAACACTATGTTTTGTAATTACTATATTGGGGGCCTAGTTCTGACCTCAATGTTATCTGGAGACTGGTAGGGCTACCATCGACAGACCATATGCAAGAGAGTAAGAACCCTTCTGTAAGAAAAGTCATCCTAAAAGATCATTTTTTTAAGATTGATTGGGTAAGGAAAGCTGTCATATCAGAGGGGAAAGCTTGACTCTGAGCCTAGTAAATATGGCACCTTCAGATTCAAATGCAGTCTTACAGTGAAAAGCAGCTATGAAAAAAACCTTTAAAGATACTATAAGGTTTTCCTTTGACATCCTCATCAAAGAGGCGAGTAGTATTCCCCATTTCTGCCATGAACTACATGGGCTTCAGACACTGGTGGGACCTAGCAGGCTGGGCCATTGCAAGCACTGCAGGTACACAGGGGAGCCAAACTGCACAGAGCCAGAAGTGGTTAAAAAAATAAGAAAAGAAAAGAAAAAGAAAGAGGAGGGATGAGCAGGGACAGGACAGAGAGCATGAACAACCCTGTGGCACAGAGATGCAAGTCCTCACCAGGTAGATCCTCAAGAAGCCACCAGAGAGACAACAAGACTCTCTGAAGTGGGTGGAAGAGGTGAGAAAACTGGCACGTGCACTGGTGTCAAAAAGGAGTATGCACCACACACTCTACTGGAGATTCCTATAATCATAACTGTGCAAAATTTAGGGTGGCCAGGCAGTTTTGTAATTACTGGTTATGATGAAAGTCAGGAAATAAGAGTTCTGCGATGATTGGCAAGGTTACCTTCTGCGTAATCCCAGGTTAAGGGTCCATGATGCTATCTGAGGAAACTGTTATCAGACCATCTGAGTTTTTTTCACCTGTAGAAATTAGCTAGAATACTAAATCATAGCCACTTAATCTGGTATTCAAACTGAGTTTTTTAAATCATAGCTTTAGCTTCTTTCTGTTCCTCCTCATCAGACATTGTGAATGATTACAGCTTTGCCTTCTTACCCCACACCGCACCCCCCAAGTCTTCCTAAAGTGCTGTGTCACAGAAAAAAAAGAAGAAGAAGAAAGTTAAGGAAGAATGATTCGACTTCTTAGGGCTAACCTTAAGGATGACTTAAGCCATACTTTTTTCCCCCAAGTTGTGATTCTTTCAGGGCTAAAAAACGTCACTTGCACAATCATCTTAATAAGGTTTCCAATCAGCTCCACCCACTCTGGCCCCACTCCCCCAAAAAAAGATTTTTATCAAATGTGGGATTTTCCCATGAGTCTCAAAATCAGAGTCTCAACTCCCAATAAATATGAGACTGGGGATGTCAAAGACTCATTCTGCTCTTGAGCCCACCAGGAACGAAAGGGAGCTCCATCTGCCCTCCAGGAACAGCTATGAAGTTCCTCTCCTCAAGTAAGTGAAGGGAATCCCTAGCCCCTCTGGCAGGGCCACTGAGTGCCTGTGCTAGGGCTGTGTAAGGGCTGATGGCTGGCCAGCAGCCAGAGGCAGGCTCCCAGGTGTGCTGTCAGCTCACTCACCGCTTTCCCTTTCCTCCGCACAGGCACCTTCTGTCCACTTGCCTTCGTGGGGCTGCTCCTGGTGACAGCTACTGCCTTCCCCACCTCGGAAGTCCCAAGAGAAGATGTCACAGCCAATGCCACTTCAGATGGACCAACATATGCCTCTACACAAAATGCTGAAGATCAGATTTCATATACCCTCATGAAAATCAAAGAATTGAAAGAGGAGGTGGGTAGGCTTGGTGGTAGGGATGCAGGGCATTCATTCATTCTCCTTGTCCATGAAGGAGGACAGTGGCTCCTGTGGGGTTTGGAGACACATTAAATTTGATGCCAAAAAGTGGGTAGACTCTGTTCTACATTTCTTCTCTGCTGTGAGTCTCAGGATGTTCTTCCTTTTTCTGGAAAATACAGAATGTTTTCTAGTCCTTTGCAGTGCTACACGTGGTGCGCATCAGGTCATTGTTTCTCAGGGCCTTCTTTTTCCACACCAGAAAGGCCTGTCAGTCTTCATTTTGTCCTTTGAACTTTGTGAAGCTTTGAAAAGTGCCACTTTGAAATGAATGTTCAGCCTTTCAAGTAGTTCTCCTACTTTTAGGTTATGTAAGTTCTCCAGGATCATTCCAGTCAAGATGGTACTTTAGGGCCCACCCCCTGGAATCATTAGGTCAAAATACCTTCCACCTTCAGATCTCCAAATATTTTGGCTGAGTTTTTCTTTTAATTTGTTATCTTTGTACTGGTACTGGGAACTCTTGTGTTCTCATTCCTCAGATCTCAGCCTCCTAAGTAGCTATGATTACAGGAATGGGCCACCAGTGGGCACCAGGATTTTGGCTGTGTTTGACAAAAACAAAAGAACATGTGGAATAGGACAGGAAAACCAGACTCCAGCTCTGGTTTTGCTAAACCAGCTTTGTAATAGTGGACAAATATCACCTCTGTATTTTACCACTTTATCTGTGAAATTATGCAATTTGCTTTCTCTCACAGGTCATTCTAGTTAGAACTTCCTATGGCTAAAGCGTATTTGCCCCAAATTATCATCAAAATTGCTGTCACTTATTGAATACCTACATTGTACCAGGCACTTCATTTAAATGTTCCAACTAATCCTCAGAACAAAAGTAGGAGGCATTTAGATGCTTCCCAGTTTGGAAAGAAGGCAACTGAGACGCAGGATAAGTAATATGCCTGAAGCCACAGGCAATCTGGGACTGAACCCAAGTGTGCCTAATTCCACTAGGAATTGCTTGCCAAGATGCCAATAGGTTGTAACTTCCTTTTGCTGGTGTGGTAGAACATAAGTGGGGCCCTCTAGTGGTATTTTGGTTTGGGAGTAGAATTTTTGGATTAACAATTCTGGTATCTATTTCCCAGGTATGTAACAATGAGGAAAAGTGTGTTAGCAATGACAATGCATTGTCACGAGACAAGCTGAACCTTCCAAAGATGACAGTGAAAGATGGGTGCTTTGAAAGTGGACATAAAAAGGTATGAACTTGCCTCATTTACTTTCAAGCATTCCCTAACCAGTTCTTGCGTGCATTGACTATATTCAGATAAACCCAGGCTGGTAACAAAGAATGGCACAGGTGTAAAGACCGTTATATAAATTTCATGAGGCAGGTAACTTAAAACTTTTTTAAAAAGATAGTTTCTCTTTTAACATGGGGGCTCCTCTGTGTTGGGAATTTTCACAACTCTCAAATGTCAGAAACGCCGAGTAGAGTGGTCTGGGAACCATTCTTCTCTGGCTGCCCCTCGCATGATCCAGGCCAAGCAGCATCCAGGCCAACTCTCCCTGCTAACGTTATTCTCCAAACCCCTCACCTTCCATTGAGATAACTTGCATTGACATCTGACAATTACACAAACCATAGCAAGGGCAAGAGAGGAGACAGAGCACTAAGGAAAGAGTCCAAAATGGTCCCCACTGCCACACTTTAGTGTCTTGATCGGCCTTGGGCAAAATTAAGTGGTGCCTTGATTGTCCAGATATTTTTTATTTTTATTTTTATTTTTTTGGGTCAGGTCGTGGGGCCTGCCTGAACTCTGGGCCTGGGCGCTGTACCTCAGCTCTTCAGCTCTAGGCTAGCGCTCTGCCACTTGAGCCACAACACCACTTCCGCCTTTTTTCTTTTTGCTTATGTGGTGCTAAGGAATCGAACTCAGGGCCTCATGCATGCAAGGCAAGCGCTCTACCGCTGAGCCCCCTTCCCAGCCTTTTCCAGATATTTTTTTAAAGGTACAGCTAACTCTGTCCAGTGTTAAAACAAAATGTCTAAATGCTCATGATGGTCAGAAGGAGAAGACACTGATTTTTAAGGTCTCAAACTGATTCTGTCTTCTAGAAATAATTGACTTTCCCAGCTTTCTTCTTGTAGGACAACTGCCTGCTGAAAATCTCCTCTGGTCTTCTGGAGTTCCAGATCTACCTAAAGTACATCCAGAATAAGTTTCAGAGCAGTGAGAAAAATAACAAAGCCAAAGATGTGAAGAGCAGTACAAAATCTGTGATCCAACTCCTGATGCAAGAGGTGAGTGCTTTCCAGGAGGGATGAAGGGAAGAGAGGCTCAGGAGAATACCTAACAGCTCAGTTACCACCCTGCTTCAGCAACTATCGTTGTATGTGAAGGAGAGGGACTAAGAAACAGTTGCTCCTCATAGTTTAACTTTTTTGTTCTTGTTATTGTTGTTTCTTTGTTTTTGCTTTTTGGCTCTCTTCTGCAAAGAACATCTATAGCCATTAAAAACTGTAAAAGTGACATGGATTTTGACATCATTTCCAATAGCTTAAGAGATGAGAAAAATAAACAGAAGAAAGCACGTCTAACTATACTCAATGAGCCTTTATAAAAGAAGAACACAAAAAATATTTTAGTAGTTAATTGCTCCAAGTTAGATTCTTGCTACTGTACTGCAGAGAAGTAAGCTAAAGACTGCAAAAGGAGGCTTTAGCCATTACCAGCAACTAGCTATTAAAAGGAAGAGAATGGAGAGATGGTAGATGACCAAAGCAAAGAGGAGGGCCCTGTACTCAGCCTGCCTCTCTCACGTGCAGTTATTTGCCTTAAACCAGGGCTCTTCATACTTTAATCTGCGTGGGAATGCCCTCGGGATTGTTTCCCTGCATATTCTGATTTAGTAGGTCTAGAGTGGGACATGAGATTCATTTTTCCCAAGAGCTCCCTGGTGATGCTGCACTACTCAAGGACCACACTGAGAGGTTCAAAGCCTTACACAAGTTACTATCACCATACCAATGGTCCTATAGAAAGACATTTCTAATCCTCTTTACACTACTGTATCAGTGGACTCTCAACAGATGCTAGATGGATAGTTGAGAAGAAGAGTGGAGAAAAGTACAATATTTAGAACTCATTAGCTTGCCTGTAGCTATTAAATAATAATTATGTGTCCAACACTATTTTGGATAACACAGAAGAAGGGAAATTAAGATAATGAGGGTGCCCTCTGGATGGTTACCATCTAATGGAGACAAAGTAGAATAGTTAGGTCCTTCTCAGGATAGGGGTGGAGCAAAAGCACTTTCCCTGACTTGGCTGAGGCAAAGTAGTCTCTTCCACCCAAATTTTAATATTTTTCCTACAGTCCTGAGCATATCTCCACTGAGAAGGACTTATTTTATATTTAAACAATCCTTTTTGCTTTCTTTCCTCTTCAGATAAAGAATCAAGATGAAATAGTCTTCCCTAGCCCAACTGCAAATGCTCTCCTACTGAAAGAGCTGGAGTCACAGAATGAGTGGCAGAAGAACATGATAATTCACCTCATCCTGAGCAGCCTTGAGACTTTCCTGCAGTTCAGTTTAAGAGCTCTTCGGATACTGTAATGCACAGCAGCTAATATTATGGGTGTGTACAGGCATTCCTTTCCATGATCAGGACAGAACCATCCCTGTCCACTGGGGATCTACCTTATGTTGTTCTCTACGAAGAACTGACAGTATGAACATTAGGACACTATTTTAATTATTTTTAATTTATTGATAATTTAAATATGAATTAATTTATATATGATTGCTATTTATAATTTTTATAAAGTGCCATTTAAATCTTATATGTCATAGTTTTGAAATGATAATATAAGAGTCTAGGTGGTTTGAATCTGTTTCAGAACCAGATCATTTTTTGAATGTATAAGCTTACCTCAATAAATTGATAATTTATGCACATTTTTAAAAGAGTGTTTGTGTTGTATTTTTATAATATTTACACTGTATTTATACAAAAGGTCACTTTATTTTTTTTTTAAAATTTGCAATTCAGCCTTTATTGTGGGAAGCAAAATAAAATAACACAAACTGGTTACAGAATGATCAAAACAAGAATGAGCAAAAATCCTTCCTTGGGCTTTAAAGGCTTACTGACAAAAGAATATTATCATATAATATCATGACAAGATAAATCTATAGGTGAAAATGGAACTAAGTAACCTGAGGGGATAGGTGGAGTTAAGATAGATGGGAAGAGAAAGATGGGAGGGGTAACACTTCAAAATGCAATCAAGATGCATTGTACTCATAAAGTAACAGTCGGATGGAAAGCTCATTGTACGACTATTTGAAGATAATTTAAAATATAAAAAACAGTATAAACACCTAGCGAAAGGTACAATGAAGGACCTACTTGCATTCTAAGTACATTGCATCTATCACATCAAATCAGCCAGTTTTTTCTAGGTATAGGAGAGTAAGTTATCCACATGAACACTAAGAAATGAGCACCGATTTGAACTCCAAGTCTATCTGACTCCAGGACTTCTACTCTTCTTTTTTTTTTTGCACCAGTCCTGGGGCTTGAAATCAGGGCCTTGATGCTGTCTCTGAGCTTCCTTGTTCAAAGCTAGCACTCTACCACTTGAGCCAAAGCTCTACTTCTGGCTTTAGTTTCACAGATTTTCCTGCCCAGGCTGGCTTTGAACTGAGATCCTCAGATCCCAGCCTCCTGAGTAGCTAAGATTATAGGCATAAGCCTCCAGTACCCATCTTCCTACTCTTAACCTTATGTACTACCACCCAGGAAATGAAAAGATATAGGTACAAAATCCCCAAAACACTGTAACAGAGGTAGTACACTTAACGGTACAATCAAAGCCTTTGTGGTCATACAACTACTTAATTAAGATATGCCAATGTTAAAGCTTCCAAATAATAACTAGGAGTTCTACCTCCCTCCTCTGGGTTTCTCAAACACTGTACATACCTCTCTGAGTGTCTACCATGGATATTTCTTCCCAGCTAGCCAATCTAGTGTACCCATCTTTGTATTCCAAACTCACAGCTCAGAACTTAAACAAAAGAGACCCTAATAAATGTTTGTTAAGTGAAGGGGCACACTTAAATAACCACTAATATAAAACATTTCAGTTCTTGGAGAGGTAGAGCATTAGGAGAAATTACACTCATGTATCATCATCTTAAGGGAAAATAGCAGGAATCTGAAAGAAGCTTAAGGATTTCCAGAGAAAGTGATAAATAATCCAAGCAGGTATATTTAACTCCATTTCCTTCCATACTGGAAATATTCTTTGCTAACCCTCCCTCCTTCCTCATCAGGAGTGATGGCAAGAGAAACAGCCTCCACAACTTAATGCAGACCCTCTGTGCACTTCAACAAAACACTGGGAAATTGGTAGAGATTTCCTCCTTTCTTACACCAGCAGTGTAAAAGTTCTCTCTTCTAACAAAGCCTTTCCCCATCCTAACCACCTAAGACTTCTTCTAGATCAGGAGTTGTGCTGTAAAGGGGAAAGTCCCAAAACTTTTTTCCCAGAACTTGAGGAATCAGGCAAGGAAAGAGCTGCATAGTCTGACTTCTGCAGACCACGCATCACAAGTGAGCTTCCCAAAATTAGGGTCAAATGCAAGAACTACTACCAGTTGACCAATACATCTATGCTCAAACAAAATGTGTTGAGTGTAATGTCAAGGAATCTTATGATGAAGTGGCAAACAAAATAGACATAGTCCCTTGCACACATGTGGTTTCCACTGTGGCATGGGGGAAAAAAGACAATCAATAAAGAATATAGTGTGATGAGATTTTCAAAAGAGAAATGTGAGGTTCTTAGGAATCTATCCTGGGGCAATAATAACAAGAGTACATAACTAAACCTACGTAGGGGCAGTTATGAAGGTTTTCAAGAGGAGAGAGGTTTTGGCTGAACTCTAATAAATATATAGACATTAAGTAGGCCAAGATGGTCAGAAAGAGCATTACAGGCAGAGGCAATAGCATATAAAAAGGTCTGAATTGACAAGAATCATATACTCAATGAGATACAGAAATTTACATTATATTCAGTGCCTAAGATGGGGTAAAAAGGCTAGCACCAGACCATCAACAGCATTCAAAAGCATATTCAAAAAATTCTACTGATCCCATTCATGGTAAGTAGTAGGATGGAATATGAGTTTTATATTTTTATATGATTACTCAAACTTCAGTGTGGGGAATTAGTGAAATATACTGACAGATGGAGGGACTTTCCAGAGGCTATAGAACAGAGAGAGGCGGTGGGCAACAACCAGTGTGTGCAAGCCCCAAGAAACTCAGAATTGTTCACAGAGATGTGAAATTCTTGTAATCTCCTTGGGATGAAGACATTGGCTATTATATTTGAATGGGAAAAGAAAACGTTATCCTCAAATGCTAAAAGCTTGATGACACTATAAATATGACCCATTAACCTGTAAGAGAGGAAATCTGATAGGGAGGTAGCAACCACTTCTGATAACTTCAGAGCTCCTGGTAGGCTTAAAGGAAAAGACAGAGTTAAACCAACTCTCCAACATGACCAACTGCTATAAGAAGAGACTGATAAAAACAATGTTGCTGAGTGACATTACATGCTAGCATGGTTCAGCTTCTAAGGAAAGTATATTAACTAAAATTACAAAGGTTGTAAGTTCCATACACAACTAGAATTCCTCTCCATCTAGAGGCAACATTACTCATCCTCCTTTGTAATTAGATGTCGCTATGCTGCAAAGACAACACAGAAGGACTAAATCTCCCATCCTTTTAAAGGACTGCTTACAAGCTTAGCTTTTGGCCAAATGATAAAACACAGTTTCCTGCATTGAAATAATACCTCCCAAATAAAGAACCCCAAAATTTTGTGTGTAACCAATATAGCTTATACTAATTTCTCTGTTTTCGGGAACTTGAAATTTTGTGTGTTTTTTAAAATTTATGTCACCATTACCTTTACTTCACACTGACATTTTCACAATCTCTGAAAGTACATTTTGAATGCTGCTCATTTTTTATTTTAAAATGATTTCGTATAGAGACATTAATATAACATGTGGTCCTGGGATTTAACTTTTCAAATAAAACTATCCATGTCAGGTATTCAATGTGAACATTCCAGGATGACCTGTCACCACAGTGATGAGATAATCCATATCTTGCCTTCTATTCCAACCATCACTCAGAGCTAAGAGGTTCACATTAATGTACAGCTGGGACATTCTCAGTTACCTGTCTAAAGTCGGGAAAAAAGGGAAATCTGAGCTGTTTCTGTGGAGGTATGCTCACAAAGAGTTTCTGAATGCTTCATTTACACATGGGACTGCTTAATATTACTTAATCTATATTCCTTACCTTTTTAAAAATTCTGTACTAGCCGGGCACTTGTGGCTCACACCTGTAATCCTAGCTACTCAGATCTATTGAGATCGTGGTTCAAAGCCAGCCCAGGCATGAAAGTCCATGACACTCTTCTCTCCAATAAACCACCATAAAACCGGAAGTGGTGATATGGCTCAAGGGGTAGAGCACTGGCCTTGAGCTGAAGAGCTGAGGTATAGCGCCCAAGCCGAGTTCAAGTCCCACGACAAAAATAAAATAATATAGATCTGTTATATCTTTTTTGAAAATGTGTTAGAGGGTTGGGAAGGTGGCTCAGTGGTAGAGTGCTTGACTTGCATGCATGAAGCCCTGGATTCAATTCTTCAGTACCACATAAGCAGAAAAAGCCAGAAGTGGCGTTGTGCCATTAGCCTTGAGCTGAACGGCTGAGGGACAGTGCCCAGGCCCAGAGTTCAGGCCCCACGACCAACAAAAAAGAAAGAAAATGTGTTACAAAATATTAAAGAACTTAATCTTCACCATAGATTCTACTATAAAATTGCTATAATATTTTCCTAATTTAAAGCATTGTAGTTTTTCTAATGGGCTTTTGTAAGCATCTTGGATGGGAAAAGATAACAGAACACACCTAAACTGTCTTCATCAGATATGGGGTTTTATGATACTAAAAACAATGTCAAAATTTGACATGTGCCCCAAGGAAAAGCCAAAGGAGACTAATGGGCCATGAGTTTAAAGCTAACTACCAGCACAAAGAAAAGGAAAAGGTAAATATAGTAGTAGAATTTTAGGAAACAAAAATAATACATCTTCTTCTTCTTCATGGAGATATCCAAATAGGGAATGTTACACATGGAAATCCAGAAATTTTAAGCGTGTTTTCAGGGTATAGTGAGTGACAGAGAGCATTGATAACTTAGTCCTGTTATTAGGGGAATCACAAATAGTACTGTCAGGACAGTGGAGTGGACACTGGGTAACTGATGGAAAACAGTTTGGGTGGAACTCAGTGAAAGGTTTGTGCATATTAGGCACTATGGCAGTGGAATTTGAAACTTTAATATTTGAAGAGGTTACCCTAAACAACACCTTGGGCATTGAATCATTATTAACTTCCCTGCTGGACACATGTCACAACTCACTGGAAAAATTAAGTGTGTGATAGAAAAGAATTCTTAAACACCTGTGCCTGGCTTCCTGTAGAATTTGCCATGAGTTTGGATTTTACCCTTTT